GACCGTGAATTCACCTTCATACTAGTTACAGGGTTATTTCGCTTCTCCTGACACTGACAATCACAAACTTTAATTCGCTGCTCGGCTTCTCCCTGCTGTGCCCTCTGCCCACCCCCAAAATCCTTGGGAGAGGATGAGAAGGACCTAGGGCCAGCCCCCTCTTGCCAAAGCGTGCCCTTCGAAGTGATGGAGTGACGGGAGGAGGTGGGGGTGGTCAGAAGGAGAAGCTGATGGCAGAGGGCGGGGGAGAGGAAGTACCACCAGGCTAATGGGAGCTTCCGCCCTGCTCCTCCAGCCTGACACTAATGTATTCAACCTGACATCCCGTCCTGTCGTGGATGAAGACTCAGCCCATCAGGCTGCTGGTCTGAGGGCTGGCAGCCCTGGTCAGGACCAATGGGGCCAAGACTCAGGCCTGGGCTTAGCCCCTAGGCCCAGGCAGTTGGCACAAGGCTGGCTCCTTTGCTTCCTACTGGAGTAGCAGGGGCCCAGTCAGGAACCGACTGGAGGGAGCCCACTCCTTCCAACCTGAGAATTCAGGTCGTGTTTTCTGCCACCTCCCCCTTATCAGTCTCTGGCCAGGCCCAGTCATCCGACCCTGCAGAGGCTTCTCCCCAGCTTCTTGCCTGGCATGTCCCACTCCCTTTACGAAGGCAGGTGGATCTACTCAAAGCTACTGCCAAATATCAGATGGGAAATACAGACTGAGACATCTCCCAAGTGCCCAAACACACTCCCAGGCAGGGCACTGGGCTCAAACCAGGAGTTCGAGGGCCTGCTTCCCCGTGCATGGAGTGGCTACTGCCATCTTGCTCACGCCTGGCCAACCCTGGCAGGGTCTTCATCTCTCTTCCCTTGGCTTCAGCAGGTCCCCTTTTTTCTCCCCTTTGATCCCACAGCCCTTTCAGGATTCAGTTGAGTTTCCAAAAGATCCACAGAAGCTTCGCATTAGCTCAGGGGCCAGTCAAGGCCAGAGATCTCAAACTTCTCTTAGCCACCCTCCACCTCCTGAAGTGGTTACCAGAGTCTTTCCCCAAAGCTTCCTGGGTAAGCGAAGGATGGAAGACTTGCTCTGAGAACTGTCTGGGTGGAACAGGGGACTTCTATTCACAAAATCCAAGCTGGCTTCTCATCAGGCAGACAGTCCCAGAGGCAGAACGTCAAGCTGACAGGACCCACAAAGACCAGAGGCCTGGCAAGGACCTGGGCCAAGGAACTCAGAAAAGGAGATACAGGGCCAGAGGCAGCGCCAGGAGGAGAGGAGCGGCAGGGAACTCCATCCGGTGGACCCAAGCTTGTGTCTGCCCCATCCCACCGCTCCACCCTTGCTGGCAGGGGAAGTGGCTGTGGTGGCCTGGGCAAGAAGATGTCAACAGGGCCAATGGGAGAAGGGGCTTGTTGACTGCAAACTGCCCATTATGGCTCAGATTATAAGCATATTGCACAGGGCTCTCTGCACGATGCCGGGGAAATCCAATACGCTGAAAGGTTAATGCAATCAATTAGGGTGACAAGGAAGTAAAGTAAAGCCTTCCGAGTAGATGAAAAGGAAAGAGAGAGGGAGAGGGAGAGAGAGAGAGTCATGGAGTTGTGTGGGGGGCGCGGCCAGGCAGAAGAGAAACTAGTGGGATGCAGAGAGAAGGCTTGGAGGGGAAAGAGAGAGACAAAAGGCCAAGGAACTCATGAAAAGAGGACAATAAGAGACGCAGCAGAAACAAGAGGCGAGGGCAGTCAGGGATCTGCAAAGCATGGCTCCCCTCCCAGACCTAGCTGATCCTGCTCCCCCTCCTGCTCCTCTCTGCCAGCCTCTGTCGGAGCCTGGGTTCCACAGCAGCCCACAGCAGGGGCTCCCTGTCAGAGAGGCTGTGGTCCCTGACTCTGGACAGAGCAGGTGCCCACTGAGGAACCTCCAGGGCCTTCTCAGCCAGAACTGCAGTCTGCTTCCCCCTCAGCAACACCCACCAGCATGACCCTCACAGTTCTACCCCAAAGCATCCCTGTTCCTCCCGACCCTGGCCAGCGAGCATAGTGGTCAGAACCAACTCTTTCATAGGTCAAGAAACTGGTGCCCAGAAAGGTGATGTCACTTCCTGGGGTCCTACAGCAGAAGTGGGAGACCTAGGACTGCCCAGAGATCACTGGGATCAGGGCCTTCACTTCCTCCAAGGGGCCAGACTCTACAGCAAAGGCGGGGAACTTCATGGAATCCGCCTGGGGATGCTGATGCCTCTTCTGCCTGCCTTACCATGAAGACCCAGGCTCTGGAGAGAGGAGGGAACAAAAGCACTTGTCCCTGTCCAGTAGTGAGCTAGCCACTGCCAGCCACAACTCACTCACTTGTCCCAACCCCCGCAGAGGGGACAGTCTTCTCACCTTTTGCCTTGTTGTATGTATCATGTCCCTCTCCCTTCGACAAAGGCTACTGCCAAACTCCAGATGCCAAACATCCTTCTCTTACCCAGGAGGCTTTGGGGAAAGAGGAAGCTGGATCTGAGGTTACAAGACTTGCTCAGGGCTACAGGAGAGAGATGTGGGACTCCTGGGATGCTGGAAACCATGAGAAAGCAGGGGGTGAGAAGGCAGGTGGGACTGAGCACAGAGAGGTTGCCCCCAGACAAGCTGCCCTGAAACTCCCAGCACAGGGATCACAGACAATGCCCAGGCCCCTCAGAGCAATCCCACTGAACACAAGAACATGGGTCAGGGTGCTGCTGCACAACTTAAGAATGGTCTTACTGCCAGGGAATTATACACTTAAGCATGGTTAACCATGGTTTTATAGTGCACAAGTTCACGTATGTATATTTTATGGGAGAGAGAGAGACAGAGAAAGAGAATACACAAAGAGCAGGAGCTAGAACATCCAGAGCAGAAGCCAGCAAACTTTTCCTGTAAAGGGCTGGCCAGTAAATGTTTTAGGCTTTGTAGGCCAGTCTCTGCTGTAGCCACTCAGCTCTGCTACTGTAGAATGAAAACAGTCATAGATTATCTGTGAGCCAATGGGCGTACCTGTGTTTCAATAAAACTTTATTTACAAACACAGGCTGTGGGCCAAATGTGGCTCACAGGCGGCAGTTTGTCAGGCTCTGCTCCAGAGAATGGACGCACCTGGGCCTGACTTCTAGGACCTGAGGTGACTAGCTCCACCCTGCTGCCTGGGGACTGAAGGAATCCAGTCTGGACCTTCATGGGCAGAGGTCTCAAAAGGAAGCAAGATTCTCATGGCAAGCGGAGAGAAGAAAAAAGACTGCGCGCTGGTACAGGAAGCTGATACTCAGGCACTAGTTCCAGTTCCCAGCATCCTGAGAAGCCTGTCCTGGTGTTTCAGATTCTCACGGGTGATATGAAGGAGTGGAGGCTGGCAGCTCTTACAATTCTAGGACTCCCAGTTCCATGGGAGAGGAGTTAAGACTATGGCTAGGACCAGGCAGTGGCCAGAGGGAATGAGAAGGGGCTCCAGGGGAGAGAGCAGCGAAGACGGCGGACCCGGAACAGAGTTGTAACCACGGTGGTGCTAGCGGCAAAGGGAGGAATCCACAGGCCCCAGCGAGAGCGCAGGGCGCGGGCCGGGCCTGCCCTACACCGGGCCGCCTCTGATCACGTTTTCAGGGCCACTGCCTGCCGGCGCAGACAATGCTGGGGGAGCCTTTGAAGTCCGAAAGGGATGCCGCGGTGGGAGCCAGGCGAATCTCCTCCCTTCCCCCCGTCCTCCCGGGGGGAGGAGGCCAGCAGGACAAAACCCAGAGCCGGTTGCAGCCAGGCCCCAAAACGCGAGAGACAAAGGGAAAACAAACAGGTTTGGAGCCAAGCGCACGGTGCCGTGTCTGTCCCCCGCCCTGCCGAGCCCGGATGATGGATGGCTGCAGCCAGTCCGCTCGCCCGCCGGGCAGGCCCCGTTATTTACATAACACTGGCGTTCCACCGGTCACCTCTGACACGGCACTGCCTGGGGCCCGAGGCCCGGTGGCCCCACAGTTCCTCGCGCCACCCAGGGACCAGACAGCCTGTGAAGGCCAGGCCAAGCCAGGGCAGCCCCGTGTGCCCAGCCTCTGGGGGATCCCTGGCCCTGGGGAAAAGCAGGACACAGCCTGTTGTCGGGCTCCTCCCTGCCAGACTCTCAAGAAGGAAGGGGGAGGCCACTGGGATATGGCACAGGCTCAGAGGGGAAAGGCAGAGTTGGAGTTCCAGAGCTTCTAAGTTCACGAGGCTCTCCTGCAGAGCGGGAGCAGCTGCCCCAGCGCAGACAGTGCTGCGGAGAGTGGGGCATGGTACCACTAGACGGCCTGAGCCTGCATGCCACAGATGCCCTGCTGCTCCACCGGCTGTGAGAGTACTCCTTGCCTAAAACTAGCATCCACATGTCCCCAGCCTGTTTCTACCCAAAGAGCCAAACCAATGCCCTCCTACTGGGGTCCATCTTTTCCCAGCAGGTTCAAATGCACAGCATGGCACCGATTCCCTGTCTCCACCTTCCTGTGGCACTCTGGGTGCTCAGAGTGACTGAGCTGGCCCAGGGTGACATGACATCAGGAGAGAGGTCACCAATGGGGAAGAGAACACGGGGATCAGGGAGGGGCTCAGGTCTTCTTACCTCTTAGCAGGTCCTAGAGGCTCCTCTCTTGCAGCTGGGGGTGTCACTTCATCCTGGGGCGGGAGAGAGAGGAGCTCGTTAGCCTTTCCAGGCAGGAATCTGATGCCCCTCGTGTGCTCCATGCCTCCTGTGTGCCCAAGGGCTCTCTGGAGTACTCCTTGCCTAAAACTAGCATCCACATGTCCCCAGCCTGTTTCTACCCAAAGAGCCAAACCAATGCCCTCCTACTGGGGTCCATCTTTTCCCAGCAGGTTCAAATGCACAGCATGGCACCGATTCCCTGTCTCCACCTTCCTGTGGCACTCTGGGTGCTCAGAGTGACTGAGCTGGCCCAGGGTGACATGACATCAGGAGAGAGGTCACCAATGGGGAAGAGAACACGGGGATCAGGGAGGGGCTCAGGTCTTACCTCTTAGCAGGTCCTAGAGGCTCCTCTCTTGCAGCTGGGGGTGTCACTTCATCCTGGGGCGGGAGAGAGAGGAGCTCGTTAGCCTTTCCAGGCAGGAATCTGATGCCCCTCGTGTGCTCCATGCCTCCTGTGTGCCCAAGGGCTCTCTGCACCCTGTGGGCCAAGGGGGTGGGTCAAGGGCCAGCCAAGGAGATCAGATATGCTGGATGACCTCTGATTTTGGCCTGTTTAAGTCTATGCCAACCAACGTTTGAAGAAAATCTGAAAGCAGCAGGGGCTGATTGCAGGGGAATTTTAGTTTTTAGGGCAGACCTAAAAAGTTAGAAGAAAAGTTAGACCAGGCCATGTGCACGCCACTGTGGGGACAGAGAGGGGAGTTTAGGGATGGGGGGTGTGGTTAAGGGTCCATATGCTCCCATGCAGTTGCAGTGGCTGAGCAGGGATGCCTGGGGACAATGACAGAATACAGCAGCAGCCACTTCTTTATTCTCTTCCCCTGGCCTCTGAAAATAAAAATGACAGCTGCCAAGCTGTTCACTATAGCAAGGGGTGGCAGAGGGGCAAGGGTGGGCCAGGGGCTAAGGCAGCAGAAGCCTCAAGTTCACAGGAAGCAATAGCACCTTCCACCCTGGGGTCCTCCGATGAGTCATAACGATCCATGCTGGGGGTCCACGTAGGGAGAGGGTCTTTAACCAATACACCACCTGGCCCAGCGTGCCAGGCTCAGGCCCTCTTGCTCAGAGCATGAATTGTGGGGCCAGTTTTGAACTGACAGACTCTATATGTGGAAGAAAACCCAAGGAACCCTCTGCTTGCTACCTGGACCCTCCTGCCCTTGCCTGAGTCAGGCCCTGTCTCCCCACCCCAAAAACCCCACGCTCTGGGAGGGTTTTCTGTTTGTTACCTTTTTCTCCCCCTCTCCCTCATTTGTGGCTTATCAATGATGCAAGAGGAATAACACCAATTTCCTTAGGCTGTGTAATCCCCAAATCAGATTGGGGGGATTGCGGGAGATGAGGTGACCTTGCACAGGGCTTCCGGAATGCCACCCAGTCCCACCGCCTGCTCTTCTGTTCCCAGGACATATTTAGATGGTTAATGCTAATTGTACTTGACATGTCCTCTTAAGGAGTGCTGGGTCCTCTGCCAGCTCTTGCCGCCTGTGCTGGGCTGCCTGGGCAAAGGGTGCCCATGAGGGCAGGGCCCACCCTGCCAGATTCAGGGGTCAGTGGGGCCTGAGGGTCTAGTCGGCATGGAATGGTTAGGGGAGGTGGCCCCATGAGCCTCCAGTGCTCATTGGACCAGATGTGAGTGGTTGGGTTCTGCAGAGAGCTGGGTAGACAACTGAGATGGGCAGTAAAGAGGAAGGGGCAGCTGTGCTGAGGTAGAAGGGAGGACAGAGGCCAGAGAGTAGAGAAGGGAAGGAGCTGGAGAGAAGAGGCAAGCTGCATGGTGTGGAGGGCCAGCAGGGCTGAGCCATGGGAGCTAGGGTTGGAGACCTCGGACCTCTGCTGCAAGGTGATAGGTGGGCTTGGCTGTCAGAGCCGGCATCCCGTCCGGCCAGCCCAGGGCCCTGGCCAGGGTGTCATCACAGTCCTGTCCTTCCCACCCTCATTGTCTGAGATCTCTCAAGGCGCCCTGGCCAGCCTCCCTTGAACCCCCCAAGCCCCCCAACTCCACAACTCCAGTATCTCCCTTCCACCACCTTTTTCTCCCCTCCCATCCTCCCCGGCAACTGTGCATTTATTAATTCATGAGGCACTAATTAGTTCTTTGTTTAATTTTGTGTTAAACAGACTGACCGGAATGATAACGACTTGCAGCGCGGTGTTGCCGTCCCCAACCACCCCTGTTTTCTGACAACAAGGGAGCGCGGGAGACCGGAGCGCTGAACCCAAATCCCTCAGCAGTTGCACTTCATTAAGTCAAAATGTGACAAGAAGCTTAGAGAGCAACTTGCAGATCTGATCACACAAGAACAATCGGGGAGGAAACT